CCTTCCCTCAGAGCCAACGAACATGCTGGACGTGAGGGCCATTTTGTGGCTCGAGACCTACCTGCAGGTAGGGGGTGGTGGGAGGCTGCGGGGCAGAGTGGGGGTGAGGGATGGAGACGTCCTCCAGGCTGGTGTCTCGCCTTGCTGGGTGGTGGGACCAAGCCCTGCGCTCTGGCTTGATGATGCTCAGGCCTCCCTCTTGCTGTCTCCTCCAGACCTGGCAGTCGACCATCCTTGTGGTGTCCCACGACAGGAACTTCCTGAACGCGGTGGCCACGGACATCATTCACCTGCACTCGCAGAGGCTGGACACATACCGTGGTGACTTTGAAAACTTCATGAAGATCAAGGAGGAGCGGCTGAAGAACCAGCAGCGAGAGTACGAAGCCCAGCAGCAGTACCGTGAGCACATCCAGGTACTGGAAGAAGCCAGTAGTGCTGGGGCACTCTTTTCCCAGCCTCGTCCCTTTCTCCATGCTTCTAGACCTGTGGATGTGGCTCTGTTGTTGCAGGGGGTTTGGCAGCAGAGTGGTGTGGCTGGGGTTGAAGAGGACCTGGGGCTCTCTGATGCTTTTCTCTCTTGTAGGTTTTCATTGACCGCTTTCGCTACAATGCCAACCGAGCATCCCAAGTGCAGAGCAAGCTCAAGCTGTTGGAGAAGCTGTGAGTGCCTGTCCTGCTCCTCTCTGGAGGTGGGGAGGGGGCAGTGCTCATGGGAAGAAACAGAGGTTCCCGGGGCACCTGGGAGATACGGGGGTGGTTTTGGGGTTTGGTTGCTCTGTCTCTGGTCCAGAGGCTTTGGCTAGGATGAGGCGTTGCAGAGCTGATGCCTTCTGGTGTGAGAACAGACCCCCAGTGCAAGGCACCTTGGTTATGTGTCGCCTCTTCTTGCAGGCCAGAACTGAAACCTGTGGACAAGGAGTCTGAGGTGATCATGAAGTAAGTGTCCCCTGAGCCCTTGCTTGGAGGGTGCCTGACTCCCCTTCTGATGTGAGCTCCTCCTGGGTCCTGTCCTGGCTGGGACAATGACCCCATCCTGCGGGCCAGCCCTACTCTGACAGGGAGCCCAGACAGGCCCCCGCGTTCAGGCTGGGTTCCCTCTTGGGGCCAAGGCTGCAGATCTGTGTCCCCTTCTTGTGACCATCCTTCCCAGAGGCCCTGCATGGTAGGGAGCCCCCCTTGCCACCTGGGGGGTTGCAGAGGTTGTCCCAGGGGGCTGGGAGCTGTGTCTCTGAAGTTCCTGGCCATCTCTCACCTCTTCCTGCCTTCCCAGGTTCCCCGATGGCTTTGAGAAGTTCTCCCCTCCAATCCTGCAGCTAGATGAAGTAGACTTCTATTACAGCCCGAATCACTACATCTTTCGTTCCCTCTCCGTCTCTGCTGACCTGGAGTCCCGCATCTGTGTGGTATGTGGGACTGCAGAATAACGGTGGCTACGAGGGACCTTGGGAGGTCCCTGCTCAAGGCAGGACCAGCTTTGGTGTTAGGTCAGGTTGCTCAGGTCCTAGCCCAGTTGAATTCTGGGTATCTCCAGGGAGGACTATTTCTCCCATTCCTCTAGGTCCCATTGCAGCATTTGATCATCCTCATTTTGAGGAACATTGGAACATTTTTCCTAATACCAGTTAGAATTTGTGACTTGTGCCTGTTGCCCTTCATCCTTTCACTGGGTGCCTCTGAGAAGAGACTGGGTCCATCTTCTCCCTAACTCTCTGTTAGCTGACAACAGCAGCATGTAGTGGGGACTCCTGCTACGTTGGATGGGGCAGCAGAGAGACGCTGCTGCCTGTGCTGCTCCTCAGTGGTAGAAATGCAGCTTCTAGGTAGCTGGAGTCACTGGTTAGACTCTCATCCTGCCCCCCTCCGCTGCGTGATCATCCAAGAGAGCTGAAATTCCCTGATCGCTGCCCCCCTCCCCGAAGTACCTTCATGGGTTTCACGTTCTCCAATGCTGCTGCTGCTTCTCTAGGTTGGGGAGAACGGAGCTGGCAAGTCGACCATGCTAAAGATCTTAATGGGGGAGCTGGCACCAGTCAGAGGGATCAGACATGCTCACAGGTACCTGGTAGGAAGGGCTGGGGGACTGGGAGGAATGGTGCAGTTGGAGGGCTTCTGGTGGGCTGTGCTTTGGAGTGGTGGCTGCCCGAGCAACGGGGATGCACAGCCACGCATATGCCTCCCTTCCTGTAGCTGCAGCTGCGAGCGCTGTGGTTCAGGGCCTGGTACCAGCTCCCATTCTCTCTTCTCATTCTGCAGAAACCTAAAGATTGGTTATTTCAGCCAGCACCATGTGGATCAACTGGACTTGAACATCAGTGCTGTAGCGTTGCTGGCAAGAAGGTTCCCAGGTGAGTTTTGGAGATTCCAGGAGATCTGGGCCATTGAGGTCTCCCTTGCTGCACATGGAGCAGCATTGATTTGTTGTGTGGCCCTGGGCAGAAGACTGTCACGTCAATGCTTAAGGGACACCGCCTGCTCTGGGTTAACCTCCCACGTCCAGCACAAGCTCAGGACAGCAGCCTTGAGGAGCTGGTTGTGCAGGGGTAGCTGGCAGTCTGCAGAGCTCAGGCTGCTGCTCCACCGTGGCCAGGTTTTGGGGGCAGATGACCCGTTTTCCTGCTGGGCACAGAACGAGCATCGGCTCCCCCTTTCCCAGTTTCCAAAACCTCCCACTCCCTTCTCCACTTAACATTATGTGATGTGGTGACAGGGAGTTGGGGGCAGCGTCACTTGGCCGTCAGTCACCAGCCCTGCAGCCCCTGTCCTGATTGTGTCAATCAGGTTTTTCCCCTGCAAACCCCCTGCTTGGGAGGGAATTGCCTAGAAGCAGCTGCTGAATTCCTCCCCTGCTGTGCTGGTCTGGCACAGGCTGCCCGGCCATGGCGCCCACCGAGCTCACGGCGCCGAGGGCCCTGTGTCACGCCAGGTGTGCCATAGCTGTGTTTTGACACGCTCCTGCAGGGAAGACGGAGGAAGAGTACCGGCATCAGCTGGGGAGCTACGGCGTCTCGGGGGAGCTGGCTGTGCGTCCCGTGGCCAGCCTGTCTGGAGGTCAGAAGAGTCGCGTGGCCTTTGCCCAGATGACTATGTCCTGGTAATTTTCTCCCAGATGCTGTTAATTTTCGCACAGCTCCATCCCTGGAGCCTGCTCCACCGGGGGGAAGGTGGGAATCCAGGGACTTTGTTGCTGCCCCACAGAGGCCTCGTCCTTGGGATTTTTGTGGGGAGGGAGGTTGTCACCCTGGGGGGACTGTGTGAAAGGAGGCAGGTGGCTTTCTCTTGCTGCTTTGGGCTCACAGGGATAAGAGGTGTCCCTGGAGCTGGGCAACGCCAATCTTGGGGCCACGCAAATGCCGGTGGCTGTGGCTTTTCATGGCTAACGCAGCAGCGTGGTGGAGGTCCCTGCAGTGTGAAGGGGTGCGGACCCAGCCTGGGCCTCTTCCAGTGCATGCTCAGAGCCGTCTTCTCTTCCAGTCCAAACTTCTACATCCTGGATGAGCCGACAAATCACCTGGACATGGAGACCATCGAGGCGCTGGCAAAGGCGCTGAATAAGTTCCGGGTAAGGCTCCCTCGGTGAGATCTCCTGTTTTTCTAACGCTCCCTGCAGCCTCCAGCTCGGGTTACTTGGTATCTCAGCCAGAGGCAGACAGTCGAATACCAGTGATGGCTTCAAGTTCGGGACAGATGTTGGGACGGGTCAGTCACATTTCTGTCTTAGCCGTCCATGCTGGTGGTTTGTTTTGCTTGCTGGCTTTGGCTAGGGGTGGCTGAGAAAGGCAACAGCAGACCAGAGAGCACCTTGTCCCCCATCTTGGCCAGCCACCTGCGCTCTGACTTCTCATGTGCTGCATGCGGCGCTCAGCCCTGCCTTGGGGCCTCTCTGCTCTTCCTTAGGCACAATTTATGGCTGATCTCCAAAGACTCGGCCTCCAGATGCCACTGTCAACCTGGTTCTCACTGTCTTACAGTTGCTCGGGTTGGGGCAGTTTTTCTGTGAAAGAAAAGCTTAACTGAGGTTGCTCAGGGCCTGGTCCAGCCACCTTTTGACTGTCATTGACTCCACCTGGAATCTCCATCCTTGCAGTTGTCAGAGACCTGGAGAGTCAGTAACAAACCCTGCACTTGCCTTCTGAGGGGGGAGACTAAATACGTTACTGCTGCACGTGCCCCCTCCATACGTCCTCTGTCTGTCCCCTTGGAGGAAGGAAAGGCTGGGATTAGGTCCCTGCCAGTGAAGTACCATTGAATTTTCCCTGGAGCGGGTGGAAACCTGAAGTCCTGGGCATAGGCTGGACAGGGGCACAGGATCTCAGTGCCACTGGCGCTGCCCCCGCGTTGTGCTCCACTGAGTTCCCTGTTTTCCCCCCTTGTGTTTTGGCAGGGTGGTGTAATTCTGGTGTCCCACGACGAGCGCTTTATCCGCCTGGTGTGCCAGGAGCTGTGGGTGTGCGAGAACGCCACTGTGACCCGCATCGAGGGTGGCTTTGACCAGTACAGAGACATCCTGCAGGAGCAGTTCCGGAAGGAGGGTTTCCTATAAGGGAGGCGGGAGCCGGACTGCGCCGGGGGGCTGGAGCGCGATGCTCAGCCACCTCAGCATCCATCCCAACTGTGCCTGGCAGAGCACCAAGGACGCTGCTCCCCGCATGGACCGTCAGCCATGCCATCAAACTGCTACCTGAACTGCTCTCCTCTCCCGGGGCCGGGTGGAAGGACAGCAAGGGAGCAGGAGCCTGGTGCTGCGCGTGGCCGGGGGCAC